GCTCAATATTTTTCTCGTAGTCAGTACTATACCATATACTCATTTTCGTTGCATTAGTCTTTCAGGTTCCGCCTCCAATTCTGATCAGAATCTTCCAGGATCACCATCATTTATCAGTTCTCACAAGGCGATTGTATCTCTCGGAGAACAAATTAGGTTGCCATCAGAACTATACAGTGTGTTTCAAGTAAAACCTACAAAGTTCGCTTTGACATCTGGTAAAACGAATCTCGAGACTACTGACGATGTTAGCCATCTAGTCCAAATATGTAATGTTGATCCAAGTTTGATTGGAAGTAACTGTAAATACTACTTTCAAGTAAGTTAATTGTTTATTTGTGTAACTCTACTTTAATTGATGGTACTACAATCATTATCATATGGATGCATCGTATTCATGCATGCTTGTAGACTAATACAGTATGAGGAGCAAGCAACTATGAGACAGTCTATAAATTAGAAAGATGAATATACTCTATACCAATTCTTTGTGTACATCAGTGTACGATTAGGTTGAAATTGTAGCTGACTGATTTGGGTATTTAGATTAACCAGTTAATAGGCATTTTGGGCCACCAATTTTCCAATGAAAGTATAGCCACTTTTTAGTTCAGTACATAAATATCTGGTTTAATTTTGTTATGTAACGTATCTTTAGTATGAATACCCTACAAAATTGTATCTTGTCAACATCCAAGATAGATTTATATTAGTTAGAAGGACTTATCTTACTTTTACGAGGACTACACTAAAGGACGATCGTCATTTATTTCTACTCTCAACGATGTTTGATAGTGACTACGAACATTTAATTGCTTGATCTGTAGGACCCTGATCAGCGAGCAGTAGTGGAACGATAGATTCTAGTTGTATATAACTGCTCCATGTCGTAAACTGCTCCACTCTCCTTTCTTTCTACCAATTTTGAGCGTCGGTATATAATGCAAGATTCGTAAGTCGCTGATATGACATGTCCAATCCACCGAAGTCGGTATTTCAAGATGGTGACAATAATTGAATTATTATCACAGTTCGGAAATAAATTGCTGAAAGTTGATATTACTGATATGATGTTGCCCCCAGATGTGAGAAACCGTTCGAAGAAAAGTCGCATAACATCCTTAACTTAGACAGGCCATGTTTTATAAGTATAGAGCAAGGCTGATTTTACCGACGCATTGTAAATCTGACTTTTGACGGTCAAATGAACATCGTAACAGTGTCAAAGATGATCAATTTTGGTATAAACCGCTCTGATATACTCTAGACACAGATTATTCTCATCTGACACCCTATCAAACAGCACTCACACAGCTATCCAGATACACTAACTTCTTGATTATTTCTGATGGTTCACTGAAGAAATAACTATCGGTACTTGCTCCCACAAGTCTTGCCAAAATACATGCTATATTTACAGACATTGATTCCCAACTGATTAAGTGAGATTTCCATAGCTCACTGCTTAATAAAATAATATTATTCGTACACTCAAAATCGAAAATCTTTTCTTTAAGTAACAGATTCACATCACCAGTACCTACTCCCATCAGAGCTGTCTCCAGACGTCATCGGTGGAAAAGTTGAAGAGGAATGATGAAATTGAACAACGCTGCCTTAACTTCACGTTCTGAATGGAACAATGGACAGCGGCGGTTGTAGTGGAAGTATCCAAACACTTAACAAAAGATGAAAATACGACTACCTGATCCCTATAGTACACGGTATTCAATGGATTAGAAATAATGAGGAAAAGATCCCTACTTTGATCATTTTAAGGAACCTTTAACCTAGCTCGGTTTGGGGCGGAACATACAATCGGTTTGTTAGTATCAATCCAATTAGATAGATAGGACTCCACCATCGATGGCACCATTCATTTTGAGAACATCTTTAGAGATATTGAGATCACGTATATGATCTTGGTTGACGATCAGCATATTCATCACTTTAGTGTACTGAGGACCTGTGTTCGAAAGTAAATTGTTCATGAGGCGGATAGGTCTTCTTTAGAAATCTCTTGACAGATATGTTTTTATTATCAGAATGGGTTTTGTGGAGATTTTTAGAAATTTCACAAGTTGAAATCATGAGTCAATTGAAGCTAGACCACCATGGAAAACCTGGAAGCACTGGACGGCCGTTTCGTCCTGGTTTGGGACTCCTCAGCAGTGTTCTTCATTAACATCATATAGTTTATTGAACCTATATACATGTTTAAAATCTGATTTTCAAACTACTTCACAGTTGTCTGAATTCGTATTATGTAATGAAAAGACGAAGATCGTCAGAACGAACATGATATATTTACGCAATATATTATGAACAATCTGATCACGCATAGTTGTTAAGATTACTTATGTATGAAAAATAAGAGGTCGAATAGACAAGTGGAAAATAAGAGGAGACAAGGATAATAAGGAGAACAATGTGAAACATGTCACGTTCGGAAATAAATCAATATTACCAGGGTAAGTTTATTGTGAGAATGAACTATTTGAATGTATAAAGGGGACGTTCTTAACAAGTATTTGTGGGATCAGATTGTTAGAAATGTATTGAGCTAATATACAATATAGTTCTGATAATTTCCATCTCCTTACTAAATTATCCAAATTTGCCAAAGGAACTAATTGTCTTAAAGTTAGTTGGTCGTTTTTCTACTTTCTAAAGGTTATGTCTCCATCCCGAAGAATGATCAAGGACCCAACCATGTGCCTTGATAGTCCACAAAGGAAAACTGATAATGTCCAATGTTCCTGTCTAGAGAACAACGATAATTTCTCAGCTATGAACACACCAAACCTCCTTCGAACTGTCAGTCATTCTCAGGGTAACGTAGGAGAAACTGTCAATATTCCCTTCGTGATTCACAATTATTCGTGTCAGTCAGCTTTGGAAAGAGATCGATGGGTACAATAGTGAGTATATATATTAATCGAAGCTTAAACAGACCAATTTCCATTCATTTTTGTCATCACATTTTTCTTCTTGATTCAAAGTTAAGGACAACAAATCCATAAATCTCGTACTGATAATAATCATGTGCTCACTAGTGACTAGCTTTGAGAAGTAATTTTCGAAGTTCTTATCGGGAACCGTGACAAGTGGAGGTAATCTGTGTCGGGTGTGAGGCAGTTACCCACTGAAGATAATCGGAGCAATATCGTGGCATGGTTGAAGTTAAACAATAACACCGTTGGATACCGGCTCAGTGGTCTAGAGTTTAAGCGTTTGTACGCGAGACTGAGTACCCAAGGCCCGAGTCCCACAGGCGGGATCGTGGATGAGCGTTACTGTGTCCTACACTAAGGCGAGACGGCTGTTCAGTGCTCTCAGGTTTTCAGTGGTGATCTAGGTCAGACCAACTGGTGAATTCCCGTAAGCTACTAGTATTTGACCACAGATGCCTTAGAAATATTGCTGGCATCTGCTGGGATCACCGGGTAAGTAATAGCGAGGTTAGACGCAGGGTATTAGGGAATGATGGTAAATCAGTTGATGAGGCTATGAATCTTCATCGACGGAGATGGTTGGGCCACGTATTACGTATGCCTGAACACCGATTACCACGACGCACAATGCTAACCGGGGTAGGGGATGATTGGAAGAAAGTTAGGGGCGGCCAAACCAAAACGTGGCATCAGTGCCTGAAGTCACTAACTTATAGTCTGAGCCATGTTGGTAGATGCAGACTACTTGGTTGGGGTCCGCGTGACTTTCGTAACCAATGGTTGGAGACTCTTGGTGACATGGCTCAAAATCGATCACAATGGCGTCGGTTTATACACTCATTGTCTTCCCTTAAACTAAGAGACTAAAATCACTTCATTCTTTCTGTCTACGAACTAATTCTTTCTTCCTATACTATATCCTTATTGCAACCTTTGACCTAACCACTCCTATGAATCCGGTGTTCATCTTGCTGTGCTAATGAGGTATGGCAACCTGGACCGATGCACATATGTGCCTGGTCCTACGTTGTAGCTAACTGACTGACTGACTGATTGAACTTTTATGTTAATTAGTTCAGGCAGTCAATCTGCACATATTGTTATCAGTTTGTTTACAGATGATGAAAGTTTAAAAACAAACCACTTTTTCCTTCATGTATTGACGAGACATGACAACACTTTTGATGAAGTTTGTATGGACGAACCAATCACGTATAAGATAAAAGGTCTCAGATTTTGGCGCGAAATTCACTCATCCATTTTGGTTAAATAAAGGTTTGGTGTTGTAGCTGATGTGAGTTCGTGATGAGAACGCTAAATCTAATCGTTGACCTTAGCCATCAATCATAATTCTAATTCCATACACACGTTTATAACCCTCATTTAGTTCTGGTTAGTAGGTAGACACATTCAAGGTCAGTTTAGTGTCACTCAAAAGTTGTCCATAAGTTAGTCTCACCAAATCGTCATTCACCTGAGCTACAAAAATCTTCTCCACATAAGAACATTGAAATTCAGAAGGGAATTGGATGGTAAATGACTAATTCCTATTGAAGTGATAGTTTGAGTAATAGTAACCAAGATTTGAATATTTTCTTTTTTGGCAAACCAAGTCCCTCTTTGTTATGGTAACAGGGTTATTGTCGAAATCGTCATCATTAAATGAATTATGTTAAATTATCCAACATGTAATTGTATATAAGTAACCTTGACGTGAATAATGCGCGGAACCTTCTGAGATGGTAAACCTTCGTTCTACAACCAACTTACACCCACGCGAAATGACACATGTTGACCGCATAACAAAAAAGAAAAGAGATAGAGGACAGACAAAGAGCAAGCACTCTATATCTATTCATTTGATGGATAGAGACACAGGTAGAGTAGACATATCAAATTAATAAATCATTTCAACCAATCATATATCAGAATGAATTCCATCAGAAATCGATCGATCAATGTGTTATGGCTCCATATTTCAAACTCGACTCTTATATATAGATTGACAATTAATTATGTGCCTCATTCGAAATGTCTGTGTGTGCGTGTGTGTGTGCGTATGCGTATGTGTATTTGTATGAGTCATAACATGTGTAAAATCGATTTACATCCGATAAGTGGTGTAGCATTTAAATTTGTTTAACGGTAGTGGATTTGGTCAATGTGACTTGTTTATATTTATATCCATGGAATGACAATCTATATGGATTACCATAATTCACATTATGATTTGATAAACCAACACTAACTTAACCATATTATGATGGATCAATGTTTTCGTAGACTTAGAAGCCTTTCCACTCCTAAATTAAAAGATGACCGATTATATAATAATGATGATGATGATGATATTCAATATTCAATGCCACCATCAAAAAATCGAAGTGAATTAGCTTTAATGGATTTACATCAATCATCTGATTTAATCGTGGTTTCTAAGCCAAATGTTCATTCATTGATAAAACTTGGAAGAAATCATGATTATAAAGAGAATTATGAGAAATACTTAAATTTAACAATAATACAAAAACCAATTTTAGATTATCGTTTTACACCACCATTAAATAGATCATTGATCTCGTGAGTTTCATTTCATTTCTACAAACTATTTATAGTCTATTCATTCAATGTTAGCAACAAAAAATTGTTGAAATGGCATTCTACTTATTAATTTTATAACAAGTTTTTTTGATTATCAGAAGGGTTTTTTTGGATATTGTAGTAATTGTGAGTCAATTGAAGCTAGACCGACCACCATGGGAAATCTGGAAGCACTGAACGGTGGTTTCATTTTATTGTGGGACTTCTTCTAGCACTGTGCATTCACGTTTTCGCCTCGCGAGATTTAAACCCCAGAACCCATCAGTCTCTTACGCGAGTGCTTAACCTCTAGTTTTTCCTTCACTTTTCATTTATCTAGTCACGAATAATGGCTATCGCCGCTTGCTAAGTTTGTTTGTAGAGAGCATCCATGTACAGTTCACAGTGCGATATGATATGAAACCATTTCATACAGTGGGTAAATAAGTGGGGAGATAATTTGAAACATATATAATAACATTTCTTGACTGACCAATGAGCAAGCCGTATTTGTTAATCAAATGCAGTATCTATCTTGCACTCTACTTTGAGCTACACCTTTGTGTATATGGGATCCAGTGGTACTAACAAACTATATGGACTTAATTACGTCTAGACAATTTCGTATCTGTAGGTTAATGGGTGGAAATGAATTACTTTACTCAGTATATGCTCTGTAGTTCATCCAGATATTGGTTCGAAGTATTAAATCGAAATAGATTCCTTCATAAGATTTGGACGAATCAAGAGCCAGAGTTGGTATAATATACGATAAATTTTTAATTCTATAGTATTACTCATACTGGTACATACAATCCAGTTGAGATGGCTGGGACACGTGTTACGTATACCCAACCACCGACTACCCCGACGTGTGATGTTTTCTGGTGTAGGAGTAGGTTGGAAGAAAGCTAGAGACGGCCAAACCAAAACATGACACAAGTCCATGAAGTCACTGACAAGTGAACTGAGTCATGTTGATAGGTGTAGACTATCTGGTTGGGATAGGCGAGATGATAGCAACCGATGGTTAGAGACCCTGAATGACAAAATCGTTTGCAATGGCGCAGGTGCATCTACTCTTTGTGTTCTTCCAAATTCTAATTTTCTGAACTCTTCATGTCCCTTTCTTTTTCTGTTTCCAAATTTATTTCACTGGATTATACTCTTTAAATAACATCTTCGAACCCTAATGTTTCCGATTGCTGCTTATACCCTCACTACCTCTACCACTACGGGATTGGAATCGACAATTGTATCTCTTTGCTAATGTGTTATGGCAACTGGAATTGATGTACGTACGTACGTACAAAGTTCTACGTTGTTACTGACTGACTGACATACAATCCAGCAAGGTTAAGTGATACTATATTCAAAAACGATTCATCAGGAAATGGGAAATCTTTTGACGGATAGGATTGTCATTTATTTTAAACTGAGAGTAGTGGCATAACATGGATTCATTTTATTTCGTTGCTTTTCATCTGCTTCTTACAACCGTTTTTTTATTTATTTATTTATTAATCAGTGCTTTTATGTTTAACTTGTTCCTAAAGTTCATTCATTAATGTAAGAATTATATGTGCATTGTTTGACTACTAATTCCAACATTTTAAACTAACATTGGTTACCATACATGAATGGTTGTTTAAAACAAGGAATAGTATATCTTACACCTGAAAAAGCTTAAATGTAAAGTTAATTCTGATTGTGTTGTATACAATACTATCTACTACTGTACGTTATTTTAAAGTTGTCTCCACCTTGAACAATAATGACTAGCCATCTAACTCTTCCTCTTGGATTTGTTAAAATAAGATTAGTTGTTTAGTTACACAGTGAATGATTTTCCATGTAGACTAGCTTAATTATATGTGAATACTATTGTCTAGTTTCAAAATCATTCTTAGTTTTCATTCAAAAGAATTATCACTCTATGTCAGACTAGCTAATCTAATTCCAAATCCGACTATGAAATTAAAATGTGAGTTGTATGAACAATGAAATGAGAAGGGTTTTTGTGGATATTATAGTAATTTATTGGCTGAATTCATGAGTCAATTGAAGCTAAATCACCATGGGAAACCTAGAAACACTGGACGGCCGTTTCGTCCTAGTACGGGACTCCTCAGCAGTGCGCATTCACGATCCCACCTCACGAGATTCGAACCCAGGACCTATCAGTATCACGTGCGAGCGCTTAACCACTGGACGGTGGCACAGCTTCGTGGATTAGTTGAAGTTAGACATGAACAGTGTTGGATGCCGGCTCAGTTGTCTAGTGGTTAAACACTCCCTCGCGAGACTGATAGGCTCTGGGTTCGAACCTCGCACGGCGGGATCATGGATGAGCACTGCTAAGAAGTCTCATACTAGGACGATACGGCCGTCCAGTGCTTCTAGGTTTTTCATGATGGTCTAGCTTTTTATTGAGTCATGAATTTAACTACTAAAAATATATATACCTGTCTACCTCATTTTAAATCTCAGTTCCTTTCTGTGTCAGATCAAAAGGCATAAAAACAGATCCTTTTAAAGTTTACTTCCATGTGATACTGAATATGTTTAATGAAAATTTTAGAGAAATCTATTTATTTATTTATTTATTTCAACACATACATAATGGTACAAAGAGGCACCAAATAGATATGCGCCACACAAATCTCATTCGATATGTGTGAGGGCTGTGATACTGCCCGGGTGCCCAAACCGAAGCAGATGGTTTTCTTAGGGGGCCGCATCCCGAGCCTTCGACCTGAAGGTCTGATCCACAAGGCAGTGGAGCATCGTAAGGAGATGCAGTCCCATGGAAGCCGGTGACCAACAATTGGTTCATAAGCCATTTGTTCCCGCAGGATACTGGAGCCCATGTGCACCATTGGTTTTGAATCCGTTTAAAGCGCCGGACATTCGCTTTTCGTCCTCTCATTTTCGTAGACAACACCCCCGCCACGAGAAGGCAGTGAGTAGGACTTCCCTGTCAGAGGCTATATACGCGTGGCCGTGTGAGACCATTTCGAGAGGGAGAGCGGACTCTCCCCACTCTCGGCCGTACCAGGGCATTTGGGGGCCCATGTGATACTGAATATGTTTAATGAAAATTTTAGAGAAATCTAATTGATCTGATATGTTTCCATATATTTAATTTTTATTCGGTTGTTAACGTCAACACACTTGCAAATTTATTTTTAGCTTCACTACAGATTAATGAGATGTATTTGGGATGAAATAAGATTTGCAAGATAACACTAATGATTATCAATAGATCTTTCAATTTACATTAAAGTGGTTCTCTCACTTTATAGTTGGTTCGTTTATTTACTCAAGTTGTTAAATAGTGACTATTTGAACTTAATAGTTCAGTGGATAGTACGTTGGCGTTTCCAACAAAAGCTATTGAGTTTGAGTCTTTGTGTGAATATTGACACTGATTTTAGTTAGTTTCAGTTGATGAGTCCCAAATGGTATGTCCTGAATCACAATGATAGTCACTATCAAATTTTAATAAAAAAAAGGAAAGCAAGTTATTAACTTTTGATATGGATGTGGTGGTCGGTATTCGATGCATCCCTTAAACTTCGTATACAATTCGTCTTGATAACCGTCCTATCTAACCCCAACGGTATATTATTCAGAAGGCGAATACGAAGCGTTGATTACGTTTATTTCGAGACCACACACACAGATGTCCAAAATTACAGATGCATTAAACGAGCATTAAGAGTTGTGTCGAACGGCAAACAGGCAAGCGAGCGACTGAACGAATGTAAGTAATCGAGTACAATCAAGCGAGCGAGAAAGCAAAGTCAACCATATGAATAACATGGACATGTGAAATTAATGAGTAATCGAATCAAATAAGCGGTTAGTAGTGAGACTAGCAGAGTGAACAAATGCGTAGGCCGTAAGCAATATTCAAGGTTGCGTATTTCATACAAGCACAAAATAATAATAAGGGTACAATAAATTGTTATAGTGCGGATGGCTTTGTCCGCTAAATAAGTTAGCAAAAGGGCTTAACTGAGTTAAATGAGAATAAACCCATTTGCACGTGAGTCGCTATATGGACGTGGATTATGATTAAAGTTGAGATAAATCTTGGTTACGCAAATTGTGTAATTCAGTTTGCTAATCTTATCTCAGTCTGTACAATGTTATAGTCAAAACAAGTACAGCTTAATGTTTATTGAATCATACTTTTCTGAAAAATAAAATTTAATTAGTACAGGAAAAACTAGTATAAAGCACTCTGAGAAATAGCGGGGTATATGACAGTTTTAATTGTCGTGATTAAATGTGCTAACTGTGTTAGACTATTGTTTATCTACTACTATTTACTTACGCCTGTTATTCCCAATTCAGCATAGGCTGCCGACCAGCATTCTCTAATCCACTCTGTCCTGGGCTTTCTTTTCCAGTTCTATCCAATCGTTGTTCATTCTTATCACATATGTCTCCATTCTTCGGCATAATGTGTTCTGTGGTCATCCTCTTTACCTTTGGCCCTAGAGGGGCTCCAGGTGGAGATTTTATTTATTACTAGGCTTGATTGGTTTGAAAATTTTCTTTCTGGTTAGCGTTTTTTAGCGAGACAGACATGAGGAAAATGAACAAAAATTGGATAGAACTGGAAAGGTAGGTCCAGAACAGAGTGGGTTGGAGAATGCTGGTCGGCGGCCTATGCTCCACTAGGAGTAACAGGCGTAAGTGAGTTACTAGGCTTGATGCAACTGAAAAGCTTTCATTCCAGATGAAAATATTTCATATTTCTTGAATACACTTTATATGACTTTTCCGTGTGTAATTTTATTAAATAAATATATTATAAAGAGATGAATGAATATGCACTATATATTTTTCAGTTTGAAGCGGCTGATCAACCCATCTCAAGATGCTCAACGTCGTAAAGAGAATTGTTTGAATGTATGGATTCAAGAAGCAAAAGGATTAACTATAAAAAATAGGTGAGTAACACTGTGTTAATAGTTCTGATCAAGTTAACACTAAAACGCAATCACTTTGTTTATGTTATAAGACATTAAG